TAACGCGATTTTCGTACTACTATTTGTGATATGAGCGTAAATTGTGGTTTTTATCTAGTCTTTTAATAACATTTGGTAATTATTTAGTTTAGCGGCATCACCTCTGATTTTGGTGAAAATAGACTCAATCGACGCGTTTTTGCATGCCAAATAACTTTTTCCTCTGACAAAATCGTCGCTTTCTACTGCGAAGCGAGATATTAATAGACAAAGTTGAGGGCGTGTTAGGTCAGAAAATCTGTCATACCATCTATCTCTAGCTATGTAACTGGAGGGCTTTGCCCGCCAGACCCCCTATCACGGGGGGTGGGGGCTATAGTCTCATGTGTTTAAGCTAAAGAGTGAATTTCTCACAAAAGACTGTAGCTCCAACCCCATCGTGATACGGGGGGTCTGGGGAGCGAAGCCCTAACATAGCTAGAGATAGACGGTATAACTGGATAATTACCAATTTTTTAATCAACGATTGTAACAAATTAATAGACTTTTTAATACAATACGGTGCATCTACAATATATTACGTCCATGTGACAGATTTTCTAACCCTATCAATGTATCATTTTAAATATTAATATCTCGCTTCGCAATAGAGAGCGACGATTTTGTTAGAGGAAAAAGTTGTTTGGCATGCAAAAACGCGTCGATTGAGTCTATTTTCATTGAAATCGGAGGTGATGCCGCTAAACTAAATAATTACGAAATGTTATTAAAAGACTAGATAAAAACCACAATTTACGCTCTACATCACAAATAGTAGTACGAAAATCGCGTTAAATTTACAATGCTGCGAAAACTTGCACAATACTATATAACAATAATATGAAACGTAATTTAATATATTAATATATTAATATATTAATATATTAATATATTAATATAAAAATAAAAATTTTAACACCTCCGTTTGAGTCCGTTTGAGTCCGTGTCCGTTTGGGATTGTGTCCGTTTGACCCTGTGTCCGTTTGGGAATGTGTCCATTCGAGCTTGTGTCCATTTGGCACTGTGTCCATTTGGGAAAATTCCCCGTGTCCGTCAGATTATGTACGCAAGTGGGATACTCCCGTTGGTAAAAATACCGATAATATGTCGGTAAAAAAAAAATGTCGGTAACGTCCGTAAGTTCCCCCTCCCGCGTGATGTCATCCCCCGCGCCCTCAGTTCCCCTCGCCCCTCACCCCCCTCAGAGGACCAGAGTTAGAATCCCTGCTCTACACTTACTCTTATAGATATCCAAATTATGGACATTAATGCTACAATGACAGTAGGAGTAGTAGTAAGAAATAAACAGTAAGTAAATAGACTAATCACAATCAATTATTTTTGAAACGTGAGAATAGAATTGATCAATTTGCTTACTGCTTATTTCTTACTATTACTCCTACTGTCATTGTAGACAATGCATAACGGATGTCCAAAATCGGATATCTTATGGACGTCTACTGTATGTCTATGGATGTGCGGATGTAAAATGGACATAAAATGGACGTCCATAGGACATCCTGTGCTATCTGGGTTGAGCTTTGTGATCCAGACCAATAAAATTTTTCAATGTCACTTCTTTGTAAATTTAGGGCTCTTTTCGTTATCATGAGAAAATGCTCTAGACGCCAAGAAATCGAATAAAAAAATGCTATTTAGTACATTTTTCCAATATCTTAAAAAACGTATCTCTGAACATCCTTGACTAAAAGGATTATGTTATGACTAAAATGTTTATGGAATATTACGATCCTCTAACATTAAAATTTCACAATAATTTTAACCAAGTCCTGTTACTAGCTGCAAGGGGTCCAGAATCAATATAAAAATAGCCAAGATTCTTTACGGTACCCATTGTGTATGTTGATAGAATCTATTGTTCGCTGTTATAATCAATCGATGAACAGCACATTTCGGAACAGCTGTACAATATCAGATATTTGATGCTTACATTTTCAATTTATCTTTCTGCGATATAGCATGATACATACGTAGCGCGATGATGAAAGATGTAATGTAGATTTCATGATAATGTAGCTTTGCTGCGTAGATTGATCACGATGCATTTATGCGGGATAGAATCGGTCGAAATATAGGAAATATATCTTGCGATCTTGAATATATAAATCGTTGACCCATCGAACATTCCGCAAAACGAATTCTAAACACGTTCTGCCTCAACGAAATACTCAGTCGCGACGTCTGCCTAGCTAACTCCCCCTCCCTTTTATCTAATTCGAAATGAACAGCAAAATTATATAATCATACGTTATTTATGTGCTCTCTGAAAATGACACGCCAAAGTTTTACGCTCCATCTGTTAAATCAGAAAAAAATTTGTTGTGTGGTGGGCCAAGTGGACGGCAAGTCAGCCTTCTATTCCAACAAATAATTAAACAAAACAAATATGTAGGAATTACACACTAATTATGCGCTCTTATATTTAAGTAATTCCGATTTTTGCGTTGCAATTCTTAAGAGACTTCTCTCTTGACGCAAAAATAGAATTTTCCTAGAATTTCTTTAAAATGGAAATTATCGTCAATTCAATTATAATATATAAGAGGAATCTATGATTTGTAAGCTTTTAGATCTAAATTATTTTGATTTTTACACAATCTTCAAAAGATTTCTCTCTTGAGGCAAACAGTATAATTGTTATAAAATTTCTTTAAAATGGATAATATCGTCAATTCAATTATACTCGATAAATCTACGATTCTATGACAATTCTATTTTTTGTGTCAAGAAAGGAGTTGTAGCATAAAACTTGAAATTACCTAAATATAAAACTGTATAAATAGCATAATTTCTACATATTTGTTTCATTAAATAACTTGCTATTTATTGGATGGAGGCTAACTTACCGTCCACCTGTCCTCCCATAAAAAATTTGTTTTCTAGTGTAATGGATGGAGCCCAAAATTTTTACGTGTCATTTTCGGAGAGCACATAAACAGTGCAAATTATATAATTTTGCTGTCTATTTCAGATTAAGTGGGACAGCTAATTAAATAGACGTTCAGTCGCGGCTGATTATAATGTCATTTATTGCACTATTCCAATATAGTTTCCAATTTCAAATTTAATTTTCCAATTAACACATTATGTATCTGTATAACATCAGAGTCATCAACGTCAGAGTGAAAGAGAAAGACAACAATTTCTAAACTTTTCTGGAAGCTTTTAAGGAGCTTGTAAGAAGAATATAAACTGCTAAAAAAATGATATAAAATTTAAAGCATAATTTTATTTATAAATGATGTTTAAATGTAAATTTAAAACAATTTTTTACCAACCTATTTTTATGTAAATTAATATCAAAATTTTATTTATTTATATATATATAGCAGACATATATATATATATTTATTTATATATATATAGACAATTTTGCATATTTATTTTCTCAACAAAAATAAATATTTAAAATATTACGATAAATAAATATAAATAAATATAATATTATAAATAATATAAATAAGAATATAAATAATATAAATAGGAATATAAATAATATAAATAATATAAAATAAAATAATATAAATAATATAAAATAAAATAATATAAATAATCGTATGTCCAAAATCCTTACGTGCCATTTTCAAATAAAAAGATATTTATATAAAAAAAATACTTCAAATCGCCCGAGTATTCTAGTAAAATGTCTCTTTGTCCTTGACAGTCAATAAATAACCGTAAAATTAACGTGACATGTAACCTTCCTCTTTAACTTATCTTTTCTCATGATTTTGTCACGTTAACGTTACGGTTATTGATTGTCAAGAGAAAAATAAATAAGAATAAAAATAATATATAAATAAGAATATAAATAAATTTATATACGCGATACATAAAGTATATCATATATTGTGAAATATTAAATACAAATTTTAAAATTATCGATTGTTTGATTTTGAAAATAGAGGAAAATTTACAATTTTTGTAGTAATATTCGAAATGCATATATTTTTTTTTAACATATATATAATTTTCTTTATTATCTTTGTGAATCCATTAGATCAACGAATAAATAAATAAAACACTGATAAGAAAATAATATTTTTTATATTTTTTATATATTTTTTTATATATTTTTTTATATATTTACTCCAACTTTGTCTCAAATTAATATTTATTACTTAAATAGTGAAATAAATATATAGGACCAATTTTGCTCAATAAGTTTAGAAGCGGCTTAGTTGATGAGACATTAAAAATACGACATTGAGCAATACGACCACCTTAAGGGTCTGCAGAAGCCAAAAGCAAATCTTGAGCAAACTTTGGCTATGGAGACCTTCCACAAGAAGACTCCACTACGATTCTTGCAAGATATTCGCCTCGGTCATATTAAATTGTGACGTCAAAAGTGAAAAATAATACGTTAAAAATTTTACATGCCATTTTCAAATAACAAGATATTTGAATGACAGAACAGTTGAGATAGTTTAAACATACCTATAAAATGCTCTGTAAAACTATTCTTTTCTCTTGACAATCAATAACCGTAACATTAATGTGACAAAATCATGAGAAAAGGTAAGTTAAAGAGGAAGATTACATGTCACGTTAATTTTACGCATTTTAAGCATTTATTTATTGACTGTTAAAGACAAAGAGACATTTTACTAGAATACTCGGGCGATTTGAAGTATTTTTTTTATATAAATATCTTTTTATTTGAAAATGGCACGTAAAGATTTTGGATATACGTTTTCTCGTTTCTGACGTCATCAATCAAAACTTTTGCGACAGATCATGAATCTTAAATTCAAAATCAGTGATTTATATTTTGGTACTCTTATTAATTGCACACGGATTTCAAACTTTACTGATACAAATTTGATCGTTGAACTTGAAAAAATAGGTTTCACCAGAATCTATAATTCAACGCACAAATCATCACTGTGTCTCAGACCGAAAGGAACATACGTTTCGTGACGTAGCATGCATATAACTCGTGTGAATCAAGCAATTCTTCAAGGATGAGTTATCAATCTTGTGAATGTTTTTTGCAGGACGAAGTGATCACACGGTCGTTGGCGATGTTCGACTGCGCGCTTTGATCTCCGGTTAAGGACGAGCCTCCAGCGGTCACCGCGACGCCGCCGACGCCGCTCTCGACGACGACGTTCTCGCAATCCCTGTCTCCGTCGCCGCCGCCGCCGTCCTACTCCCTACTACCGCCTATTCCGCCGCCCCTACCCTCGCAACCGCCACCCGGGTACACCGTCCAGGATCAGGAGCTCTATTTGCTCCTGGCCGCTCACTGGTGGAATCAACCCGAGGCGCCGCTCTTCTGCTGAGAGTAAAGTAGTCGCACTAAATCTTTCCAATAGTCTAACAACCGAAGTAGCTGTCACCGCGAAGTCTCCCCCCTTCCCCCTTACTCCAACCATCTTTTTCTCTCTCTCGCTTTTTCTTTCAATTGCTCACGCTCGTGATGAGCATTTCACTCCGTCATTGCACTTCTTATACATATAGTTTTCGTGAAATTCGAGGATATTGGAATAGCTGGGAAGCTAGAGGGAGCTCGTGGGAAATGCGGAGCATCATTTTGGCCACAGATTTCCCGAGGAATCCGCATAAGATTTCTCCTGGGAGAAAATTGATCGAAGAGACATTGTCTTGTCAAAACTTCCTAATGCTAGTTAGTACTTTGTGCCAAGTTTGAATTAAATTTATGTCAGAATAAATTAAATTCATATTGAGGTGAAAAAATGAATGGCATTATTCTCTTACATATTAATACGTTTGTTATTAATACCATATATATATATATAAAACAGTGATCTTTCATCCAACGTCACATATGTGTCTCGTATATGTGACAACAATAATTTTTTTTTCTTTAATTACATATAATTAAATTAAATCTGTTTTATGCAATTACATAAAAAGAATACAAGGTGACCTGTAGGAAGGTACTTCAAATAAACTGCAATAGCGAGTGTGTTAAATATGTATTGCTTATATATTCCACAAATAATGAAAAAATTAAAACAAGAATTATATATTAATCTATATATTATTATATGTATACTATATTTGCAAATGTGACATAAACAATTTGACAATGATACAAAACCTGAATTAAAAGTTATTCTACATTGAAATATTAGCTCACCTGAAACATAATATCGTTTACAAATGACGTATTATTGACATTAAAGACATCACTAGTGCGTTATCTGACGTCATTCTACTTTTTCACGCATGCTATTATGAAATTGCTATCTTTAGCAAAGGAAGAGATAATTAAAAATAAATCACAATTTTTGTACATGTGTACTTTAACTATTTAAAATAACGTTTGCAAAGCTTTATTCTGATTTAGAGATTATTTCTTCTATAATTAATTAATTAATTAAAATTTACTAGAATTTAGAGCCATAAAGATGTTGTGTAAGTATGTTCTCTAAATAACAGAATAATGTATTTTTTTATTTAATATTTACAATATATTTGTTTTCTTCACGACATATTATAGTTCAAAATTTTTTCTCGAATGTATTATAAATGACAAATATAGAATGAAGTAAATAGATTATAAAGATGTGGTGTTAAAGTAAAAATATGATGTTATTCAACTGTAGTGTATATATATACATAATATTCCAGAATTTTCGAAACTCTGAAAGCAATTACGGATTAAAGTGAACATAAAAATCTTATATCATTTTACTATATTTGCAATAATTATTGAAATATTAATTAATGAAGATTTGTGAATGATCACGCTAAGTATGGTAGATGAGCTATAGTGGCAACATCTGTTGTCGTGTGCTTGTATATTAGATTTAATTGAACAAAAAAGTCTTCTACCTTTTTCCTAATAACTTTATAGATTTTAAATTATTAGTTAAATAACATTAATATATTATCGTTAATGACCATTCGCCAATTTTTTAAACTAATAATTAAAAATCCATAAAGTTAATAGGGAAATTGTAGAGGACTTTTTTGTTCAGTTTGACCTAATGTACAAGCGCACAACGGCAGATGCCATTACTATAGTTCATCTACCATATCTTGCGTAATCATTCACAATCTTCTTTAATGAATGTCTCAATAATTATTGTGCATATCACATAAAACAGTATAGAATTTGTATATTTACCTCAATTCGTACTATGTCTCCACGAGAACTTAGAAGATTGTTCTGGGACATTATGTATATATATAATATATGTTTATATATGTTATGTAGCATATATATATATATATATATATATATATATATATATATATATATAAAGTGTAGTAATAAATATTATCATCTTAAATATCTTCGGATCTGTATAGTCCAGAGGAAAATTTATGTAACCAAAATTTCACAGTATGAGGGCTATTATATAGCGATAAGTTTTGTCCAGATGGAGACGCTTCAGAGATTTTAAAGTTACCTCTATTTTTTTTTTAATAGTATTTTATACTTGTTTATTCTTAGTGCAACAGCGGATGTAGAGACTATTTCAACGACTTATAATACAAGCTCAATCGGCATTAAATAAAAGAGTAAAACAATTATTTTATAAGAAGTACTTGAAGTGATATTCGTTTTTACATAGATATAAAATTGCAGTCGTTGAATTCCTAAAGCATGTACACTTCTTAATATTTTGGGATTGATTGTCGCGCATACTGCAATAATTTATTACTTCATATTTTCTGATATGGTCAGTATTTTCTGGTATACAATGCCTTAGTATTAATTGCTATTACAGTAAGAAATGTAAATATTTTAACTATAAATTCTATAATTCTAGAGGAATTAAGAAGTGTGTTGCTTTATTTTACCATATTTATCAGAAAACCATGCATGTACAGGAATCTTTTTCTGCAAATTTTTCGGATATTCTTAAACTTTTGAATTCAAATGTGAAGGTACAATAATGTTCTCCAAAATTTTTCTATTTGAAGCACCCACACTTTTGTATACGTTGCGGAACTTTTGAGTTAAACAAATATTACGCTGACAGCTTGAAATTTTACATTTAAAATTATTTTTCGTTACATATTAAACAATGCTCGTATTAATTTTTACACTTTCATTGCATAAAAGCATTTGTAATTGTATACAACTAATATGACGTAAATTTTGCAGAAAAATATCGAATTATATCGGTTTTCAGCTTCAGCATCCTTTTAATATCCAATAGATCTTTCAGAAGATGATCAGTTCATTTGAATTAGCTCTCCTGTGATTTCAGTGACAAGTTCATGTAGAAATAAAGTTTTAATTTACTGAATAAGTAAATATGCTTCTCGTTCATGGAGATCAGTAAAACTTAATAAAGGCACGAGTATTGTATGCTGAACGGTATCTAGACATTATCTGATATGTGTCTCTCACATCGTATGTTTCAACGGTTGTATAAAAAATAAAAAAAAACTAAAAGCTTGAGTATGGTTTAAGCTACGAAAGCTTTAACTACGAATATCTGAACGTCAAAAAAATACGTAATGGAGATAACGAAATCGATGTAAATTATTAAATTATTATTAACACGTATGTACGAAACGTCAAACTGTCAAAATGTCACTTTGACACATGTCTGTTTTGACACATTCCCGCTTGTCGGATGAATCAACAGTCATGAAAAACGATCAGCTAGAAATGGGCACGGCTGGTAGAAATTTTCTAGTGATTATCAATCTGATGAATTATATAACATCAATGCAACTGAGTGTATACTTAATAATGAAGATATTCAGTTGATCAGTTGATCAGTTGATTCATCCGGCAAGCGGAAATGTATCAAAACAGACATGTGTCAAAGTGACATTTTGACAGTTTGACGTTTTGTACATACATATTAATAATAATTTAATAATTTATATTGATTTCGTTATCTTTATTACGTATTTTTTCATGATCAACTAGAAACGGATATGGCTGGTCAAAATTTTCTAGTGATTATTGATTTGGTGAATGGTATTGTAATGCAACTGAGCTTGCAATAATGTATGCTCATCCTCAGATTAGTTTACGACAAAAATAGAACATGAGTCAGGCATTAGTGTAGCAGTGTATTACGGATTCTTGCTTAAAATAAATTATATCCATTGTATATTTGCCTTTACCAGAATTACACGATTCGGATTTTGAAAACCATGTTACATTCTGTCAGTGAATACAGCATCAAATACACATCGATAATGAGTTTTATTTATTAATATTATCCACTGATGAAGTAAGCTTTACTAATTATGGTCATGTAAACGTCCATAATATGCATTACTGAAAATCGGCTGAAAATCCGCGTTGGTTAAGAGAAGTAGAACATCAACGACAATGATCGGTAAATGTATGGTGCGGTATCATATACGACAAAATAGTCGTACTATATTTTATCAACGGAACACTTAATAGCATAAAATATAACTTTATTTTATTACAACGATCTCAAAATTTTATATTAAAGGACAATTGAATATTCGCTAAGTAATTTAGTATTAACGTGATGGATGCCCGACACATTAGACATAAAATATTTACTTTACATTCAATAAAATCTTCCCAAATCGGTGGATAAGAAACCAATTTTGTGGGCCAATTTCGTGGCTAGCTTGTTTGGCCGCTCAAGTTTTTCTATGAGAATAAAAAACATTAAATATCAAAAAATACCTATCACACCAGAAGATATAATCCAACGAATTATTGCAACATGTGCAACAATCAGTCCGAAAATGTTAAGAAGTGTACATGCTTTAGGAATTTAACGATTGCAGTTTTGTATCCATGTAAATGAACATCAATTTGACCACTTTTTGTGAGGTAAAAATCATTGTTTTACTTCTTTATTTAATGCTGAATGATTTTGTTTTATAAATTGTTGAAATCGTTTAAATATTCGCTGTATTGAACTAAAAATGAAAAAATAAAGTATGTCTCGTTTAAAAAAATGCAGGTGACCTTGAAATCTCCAAAGCACCTCCACTTGGATAAAAATTATTATCGCCACATGATAGCCTCTTTCATACCGTGAAATCTTGATTACACAAATTTTCCTCTGCACCATATAGATTCAAAGATATTTGAAATAATAACAGTTATTGTCTTACCCTGTATACGCAGGTGTTCAGTGTTAGTTTACGGTTAGTTGCACGATTTTTTAGATATCAACGATTTAAGAAAAAGATAACCAGCTGAATTTTCAACTATTTTGTGCGACCTACAATTTACAATAATGAAAAAGTATTTTTTTATAAAGAAATCAAGGTCATCTTGAAATTCTTAAATAACACTATGCACTTTTTTACATAATATTGTAGAGGACTTTAAGATGAATTCATATAACATACGCACTATACATATAACGTACTATTACAAATGTCACTTTTATTAACAATAATAATAGAACAATAAAAAAACTCTAACTTATGAAAACAAATGTTTAAATTGCTTATCTTCTTCTGCAACACAAAATTCTGCTTTTTTTAACAAATTACTGTGCGTAACATCTAGTATGCTATTTGGATCTAAATTTGTACAAGCTATAATTATCTTTTCTCGAAGATCTTGAAGTTCTCGAAGAACATTATTATAATTGATGTTTGATACATAGGAGCTTGCAGATAAAAAGAGACAAAGTCTATTAGAGATAAATTTGGAAAACGAGGCGCCCATTGGATTAGTTCATGTGTACTTATAACACGATTTCTAAAAATATCCCAAAGATAATTTTAAATTATTTGTACATTATGTGCTGAGCAACCGTAAAATAATGCTACACATTTAATATTATTAACAAAAATAATATTTATGATAGTTATCTTAAAGTCCTCTACAATATTATGTAAAAAAATGCATGGTGTTATTTAAAAAATTCAAGATAATTTTGATTTCTCTCTCTTTATAAAAAAAAATTATATTTGTTATTGTAAGTTGTAGCATGAAGCAATTGAAAATTCATTTTCCTAACTTTTTCTTAAATTGTCGTAAGTGTCTAAAAAATCGTGCAAACCGTTACGCTGCACACTCTATGATTTTTTTACATGAAATATTTATATGTTAACGTGTTTCTAATTTCCAGTAATTTTTTTTAGGAACTATATACATATAATATATCCTTGATATTTCGAAAATTCCTCAAAATCATTATATTTATTCAAATCTTTCATAATTCAAAGGATTTTAATTTTTCTCTTTTAGGGCAACGCGATAACATAGCAGTCGAGGATACAATACGCAAGTTGTCGTCCTTATCCTCGCCGACCGACAGACTAACGGAGCGTACTGGAGACTCACCGTTTCGAGAATAACAACACGCGAAATATCGCAGAATCACTGCTTCGCCCCATCGTTGGGATCTCGATTTTGCGCTGGAATGCGACGATCCTGCGATATTTCGACGAGGCCGGATATTTCGGCAATCGCGGAACCGACAATTGGCGTTGATCTCTGGCAGAAATGAAGCGGAATTACGCAATCCAACGTCGCGCAAACGTTCAGTTTAAAGTCGACGTTATTAATATGCGAGATATGTACCTGCAGCTCTTATTGCGATCTCCCGCAGCCGAATCAGCACAGCATCTTGAGAAGACACGTTCGAAAGGAAACGACAAAATGATATCGATCTCAATAAGCGTAAATAAAATTCCGCGGTGCGCCGCGAGAGAAGATCTGAAGTCGAGACACCGGGTTATCGAGCAGTTTCATGCCGAATCGTAGCGTCAGGAAATCCCAAGACGATGACGACGTTGATGATAAAAACGAGAAAACGGCACGCGCGGCTGTGAGTAGGAGACGCGGCACGAAAACGAGGATTCCACATTGCGCGCGCGAGGTAGGATATCCTGATTTTATTTCTATGTTCCTAATTACTCACTACTCACGAACGTCGGAAAATCGATAGGATATTCAGATACTATCGCAACTAGTATCATAAGGACGTAGCCGAGAAAACCATTGTATTTCTACATAGAAATCCACACGAGACATATATGCAGAACATTTTTCTTTAATAATATACTAATAATACTACTGTGATCAAAAAGTATCTGGAATGGTTCATTTAAACTGCGCGCGTGCAAGATGGCACTGTTGTCGTTTTTTCCCAGGTTGGTACGACTTTCGTCGATATCTAACTGCAATCCGTATGTCATTATCTGTTTTCGTTCGCAAATAAACACTTGTTTTGTGTGTAAAGAATTTTTGATGCAGCGGTTTTCTAAAATGTCGAGTAATTGAGCAAAGAGCATGCATTAAATTTTGTTTTCGCAACGGAATTGCTGCTACGAAAACATTGCAAATGTTGCAAAAAGTCTTTGGTGACAATACTCTATCAAAAAAAGAGTTCTCGAGCGGTACAAGATGTTCAAGGAAAACAGAGAATGTGTCGAAGATGAACCACGCTCTGGTAGACCATCCACTTCAACTGATGAGCAATACGAAGCTCACATCACAGAGATTTGATGCTCAATGATCGTCGTTTAACAGTTATAGACATTATTGAACATGTTCACTTGAATCTTATCAAGCAATTTTAAAAAATCATTTAGGCTTGCGGCGTGTCGCTTCTTAAGTCGTTTTGAAAACGTTCCGAAAACGTTCATGAATTTTTGGCTAAAAATTCAATAAATACGGTTCTGCAAGCTCCTATTGGCTCACCTGATATGGCACCGTAACTTTTTCCTGTTTCCTCGACTAAAATTTCCGCTTCGTGGTCACCGTTTTGAGTCAGTTGATGTCATAAAAGAAAAGTTCGCTGCGAGTCCTAAAGAGGTTTCACGAAAACGAAAGCATATTTCGAGAACTGAAAAAAACATTGATGTAAGTGCATTTATAGTGGAAGAGGATTACTTTGAAGGGGACAAAATAAATTTTGATGAATAAATTCAAATTTTTTGTTTTATTAAACCATTCCCGATACTTTTTGATCACAATAGTATAATTTACAAGACTTGTATCGTGCGGCTAGGATATGCTCATACCGAAGCTAAAAAAAAAAAATATATATATATATATAAATATATATATATGTATATATGACAACACAATAAACGAATAGTTTGAAAAAATATATTTCTTAACCTGACGGTATACAAATTTGCCATATGTACAAGAAAATATGAGAATAATAAAAAATATTCTGTACTGATGTATACTGACGCTGTAGCTTGAGTTTCTCTTTATTTCAAACGTTCTTTCGTCTAACGTTCTAACGCTCGTTATTTCTAATGTTATTTCTAATGTATGGGAAAAATTTTGGATAAAGTTCCGAAAAGTACTCACCCCCGATTTTTTTTAAACTCAGTATTCCTACGTATATTGACGCGCTGATTACGAATATCATAATGAAAATTGGCGACTACTTGGTTTTCATGGTGAAAACCATGAAAAACCCATAAAAATTATGGTTTTTTACGTTTATCTTAGTAAATATGGAAAATCATGATAAATCTTCTAAACAAAAGTTTTAGATCTCACTGAGATAAACATTTTAGGTCCTATACATTTTTACCGTAATAATAGTTTTTGAGGAAATCGAGTATGAAGACCGTAACAGCGTTGTTACAGTCTTTATACTCGATTTCTGCGAATCCGTTCTGCGGGTTATTTCGCCACGTAGACAGTATATTTCCTCTGAATCGTGGCGAAAAGAAATAAAGGAAAGAGGACTTACAGTTAGTTATAAAGGAACTCTAACAACTTTTTTTAAGAATATTTTTAACATTTTTAACATTTGCAACACAGGAAAAATATCGAACGACTAGCGGGAGGCTACGCCCCCCGCACCCCCCTAAAAACTAACCCTACCTATCGTCACATTAGCTGTTATTGTTTATTAAAAAGTTATTAAGAAAAAAAGTTAAACATTTTTTAACCGCAATGATGATAGATGTTAACGCTGTTACTGTCTTTATACTCCATTTTATACGAAAATTATTCGTACAGTGAAAATATATAGAGTCTAAAATGTTTATCTCTGTGAGATCTAAAGCTTTTATCTAAAACATTTATCATGATTTTTCGTATCTACTAAGATAAACGTGAAAAACTATAATTTTTATAGGTTTTTCATGGTTTTTACCATGAAAATCAAGTAGTCGCCAATTTTCACTATGATATTCGTAATCAGCGTGTCTAAATACATAAGAATACTGAGTTCCAAAAAAATCGGGGGTAAGTACTTTTCGGAACTACACCCAAAATTTTTAACTTGGATACTAACTATTATGTAACGCACGTGCGTATAGTACTATTATATATGCGCGTCTATCAAAATTGCAGAAAAACGAAATATTCACTGCGCTTCTGTGCAATAATAGAAAATTATAATCGTGTTGATTGCGTTGCATTGCTTTTCATTATTTGCAAAGGAACTGCTACACAAATAAATTAATGTATTTTTTATTGAAGAAAATAGATTTTCTAATTCTTATCAAACAAATTTTGTTTTAAGAACCAGAAATTCTGTGCTTCAACCAAAACGCATTTGATTCTCATTCATTGTTGAATTAATTTAACCAAACTTTTTTTTTCTATCTAACATTAAAACAATGTATGACATAGTATATGAAAGATGTAATTTAGTATGGGAATTATTTTCTTCACACGCGCGTTTCAAAACTATCGAGAATGTTTCATACTTCTTAAAAAAAAGTTATTTCAGCATATAACTTTATTCTTTGTTTTCTGAATTTCATATATTCTTCAAATTCTTTTCTACATTATAGGTATATCCTAGCTAGGCAAGATTACTATGCTACTTCTTTGGCTAATGAATGTTTATATCTTCGAGAAAAATTCTCTGCATGTATGATGCGCCTTTTTTACGGTCACATATAATTTCCGCTAAGATCTGTTCTCTTTCTCCGTAACCATGATATAAAAAGAAAAAAGTGCTCATGTTGATGCGGAATTAATAAAATCCACCAACTGTTTTTGTCCAGAGAAATTTATCGACTTGTTATACACACTTGTTATTGTGTAGTCGTATATTTATCTATCTGCGCGTACAATTACAGACGTTTCCAAACGAAGATGAGACTCGTAATGGCCGTTTCTTCATTTAAGCGTCCCTGTATGATCGTCACATTTGCAAATCTCATTATACCTTCCACGGTTAACGGTAGTTAGTATTACGATCGCGTGATCGCGATAAATACATATATATGTCGTGAATAATAACAGTGCGGCACGCGGCGATGATTACGTTGCAGTGTGATGACGCGTCGATTCCCTCGATTAAATTGTCAGCCGCACGATCATTGATGATCACAGATATCACGCGCATATATTTTTGTTGGTAAATTCATAGATTGATACTCTGTTGTACATTTTCCTTTACAAACCCAATTGTTTTAGACGGACCAAGCAGACGCTCCATATTTATCGTCGATCGTATCGACTCGTTTTATCAATAATATAACAATATTTTATTATGTCCAATTTTTATGACGACTTATAATAAAATGTTGCCAGCATATCTCGTCACATCGTTTATTTTATCGATAGAATGCTGATTAAGATTTTGGCTTATGTAAGAAATATTTTGCGTTTTATCTAATAACATTTTTATATTGTGTATGTACATTTTATTTCTTTCGATGAAGTCTCGTGATACTTTCATCGTCAGACATTCAATCGTATCGTCGATACCGAAGTACCGGCGAGAAATATTGATCGCTTGCCTGCTCCTTAAACGTTAGTAGCGTGTAACGTGTTACAGGTGTACGTGCGTGAAGAATCGATTTTCTAATATCCGTTATTACGAGTCGCGTAGGTGTGTGAGCGTATGAGCATAGGTCAGACTAGTGAGTAGAACAGCTTGAGAATGGAAAAAGGGGAAAAAGAGAGATAAAAAGAGAGAGAGAGAGAGAGAGAGAGAGAGAGAGAGAGAGAGAGAGAGAGAGGAAGATAGGGAAAGATTATTGATTATCAAAATCGATGACAATGAAACACCAAGCTACCCTAGTTAGCTGATATTTAAGCGAATGGAAATTAGAATAGTAATTTATAGTTTTACGTAGGATAACTACGCGATTAAGTCCGCGGATTCGCGCGAGTCGTCGGATAATTCACGGCGCTCACGATCGGCATTTTAGAGGAAAATTCAACTACTCTCAGAGAATACCGTTAGTACGCTCTATACACATATACATTCACATCTACACATACACACTTCAATCAGGATCTCCACGACTTACCCCGTTCGAAATATCGTTTGTCCCCGTTGGTTCACATCAGTTAAGTTCGGACCGTCGTTGATCGTCGTGTCTGATCGCTCGCGATTAAGCTTGTCGGGCTCGTGAAACGTATTAATCGCTCAAATTTTCCCCTCGAGGAAAATATACCGTTACCGAGCAAGGAACGAACGCCTCCGTTATAATGGCGTGGTTTTCACGGAGATCAAGAGTGCGCGCATGTTGCTAGGACTACAGAGCGTTTCTATAACAACGAGTAATAATGACGAATCATAGTTTCCTTCGCCGCGATCGGACTTGGATAACGTGTGTGTATATGTCGAATAACGGCGAATCTAAATAAGACGGAGGCTCATGTGTACGTGATATTGCGAAAAGTAAATTGCCGAAAACAGAGTATCTATAAATATCTATTTTATATTCGAAGTCGGGCTTTAATATTTGTTTGAATTTGACACTATTTGGCTTAGATTATTGAGATAGCGGATATCCAATTATTAGGATAGGGGATAAATGTGATGCTTCAAATTCGGGTTATCCGGGGATTCAACTTTTCCAAAATACCTAAACAATTAAAGCATCGAATTCGGATAATTTTGTTATTAAATTAATCCGTTTTTATTCATATGTTTCTTTCTTTTTATTTAATAATAATAAAAAGAAAATAGGGAATGTGATGCTCACTCCCACCGAATATTCGTCTGTGACATGCAAACAGAAACTATTGTAGCTCCCCAAAGACCGTCCTTTATCTCAAACCTATTCTCCTCCAGAGAAAGAGCTTCTCAAACGTTAGATGACCATTTTGGCTAAGCTTAAGAAAGACTGAGCTTAATAGTAAATTCTCAGCCTAGTATACACCGAACAATTCGTGAGTATATGGAGGCTAGTTTTCTACGCTGTCCCACACGATCTACAGTTAGATGTATCACTACAGCCTATGTGGTAGTTAAAAACACTATACTCTGTAAGTACTTGCGTCACTGGCATCCTTCTGCTGCTCAGATCAGTGGCATCCTTTTTCTATGTGTTGCAACCTTTTCTTGGCGAACTTCCAAGAAAAATTTAATCACATTTATCCAGAATTCTAAATACTGTTCCCGCCTCTAGCATCCTATTTATTCTTAACCCAAATAGTAAAGTATTCGAGTGCTTCGGAACCCACACCAAAACCAATTCGTCCTTCATTGCTAGTTCGTCCATAGTGTAATTCCAAACCAGTCTAAATGTAAAAGTTGGAGTGTCAAGAAACTTTGACACAAGCTTTGAAAGCTACTTGGTTACCCAAACAAATATTAATACGACTACCCGTTCTTGCATATAAACATTGCATATAGTTCGATGGCTACGTTTAATCGACCGTGATATATTCTCCGAGAGAGATAATATTCCTAATCCCTCTTTGTCGATGATAAACTCCCGCACCCAAGTTTCGTTTTAAAACCATTCGTAAAATAGATTGCTTAAAATGGAGCTCTGCGGTATCAGTCAGACCTCGCATTCGGGGAAGCACAAAAGTTGTGCTATAGACACGAATGAACAGCATCTTATTCTGTTCTATCTTATCTATCTGAAAGATGAGATTGGAAAGAACTCCACGAAAAGACGAGAATGTTTTATACCAGCTTTCCATTATTCTTCGCAACTCAGTACGGTATGTAGCCGACGCGGCTATCATCATCTGATGAAACGATTCTACACTAAATCCTAATGCTGCAACCGGTATAGTGCATATGACGTCCAATAGTTCGCAAAAAATAATGGCCCTCATGCGCTCGAGTACCCTTCTATCTAGCCACTATCTCTTGAGTTCCAGACTACCATATTAGATCTACATACAGTAACCTGAGACAAAGAATGGTAATTAGAACTAGTACACCATACCTAGTCTTAAACTCCAAGCCTAAGCAAAGACTTCTCTGTATTCTAAGTCAGTTTTCTATTCACGATAACAT